CACGCCCCGCCCCATATCCTGGCTTTTGTCCCGCCCGCTCCACCCCTCGCCCCATGCCCCGCCCTTGCTCCGTGCCCTTCCGCATCCTGCGCTGCCCTATCAAGCGCGTTGCCACACTCAGCCACCACCAGCTGCCCTCACTTGGCTGACCCTTCCTCACTCCCAGCTGGTCTTCCTATTATCCTTCGGATCCTCTCTCCCTTTTATCTGTCCTCTCCAGCTTGGGGCCTCTGCCTTAGTCCAGGCCTCAATCTTCTCCCACCCAGGTGCTCTCACCAGCCTTCTCCTGCACCTCCTTCACACATACCTGCAAAGCACAGTGACCCCGACTCTCCTCTGCCTACAACCTGCACTTCCTCCCCCGTGCTCTTGGACTAGAGGCCGAGTTCACACCCAGCCCTAGACGCCCTTTAGGAGTGGGCCTCTGGTTTCACATTCTGTTATCTCCTGAGGTCCTGGGGTAGGGCTTGACCTTTGGTACCTGACATAACCCCGTGCAGAGCATGTATACGGGTAGCACAGATGTTAGGGCTGTACCCATTTTAGAGATGTGGAAACACTCAGTGTCTCTCCCTGGGAAAGCCAGATTCCTCCCGGGAGGAATTGCTTTCTGCCTCTTGGGTTTCTATAGGACTCAGTAACTCCCAGGCAGCACTGGGCCAGAGTCTCCCGGAACACTTGGCAAAAATCCAGACCCCTGACCCTATCTCAGACCTGCTGAAGCAGAATCTCTGGGTGGGTCTGGGGTCCGAGTGGGTAACAAGCTCCTCAGCAGCCCCGGGCCCCAGGCCCGGTTAGCCTCATGGTGAGTTCACTGAACATGCACCTCTGTGTCCTCACCACTGGCCTAGCCCTGGCACACAGTAGGTGTGTGGCACCTGTTTGTTGAATTGAGTTGACTGCAGCCCTCACTAATCCTGGAAACAGGAATTCCACCCACGCCCCGCCCTCAGGAGGCATAATGTCACCTGAGCCTCCTTTGTGGGCAGAGGAAGGCAACACCCAAGCCTGTACCCGGGGGCTACTTTGAGACAGCTCCTTCTGTGGGGGCTTTGAGGTCAGATCCATTGGAGTTTCAGTCCTGGTTCTGCCACTTACCTGCTGTGTTACCTGTGAGGCAAGTTGCTTAACCTCTGAGTCTCTGTTTTCTCATTTGTAAAATGGGACTATCCATGGGGTCCTTGGGAGAATTAGGAGAGAAAATGGGGGTCACGTGTGTAGCCAGTGCTTGGTAATTATTAGGGAGAATATGGGATGGCCCCTCACCCCACCCCTATCTGGGGCTCTTCTATCTGTTTCCAGGCTTAGGGAACAGATAGAATGGGCTGTTTGACCTTGGGCAAATTCATTCCCCTCTCTCGGCCACAGTCTCCTCATCTGTGAAATGACTGCACTGGACCGGGATCACTGAGGTTCTCCTTCTGCCCAGGAGGAGTTTCCGGGTATTTCCCAGGCCCCTTGCATCCATGTGGTGTCCCCACCTCATACTGTGGCGGCAACCCCTGGGCCCTGCTCTGCAACCTCACCCTGTCCCTTGCTTCCCTTCTCCTGTCCCTGCAGGTCTTTGATGACTTCATCTTTATCTTCTTTGCCATGGAGATGGTGCTCAAGATGGTGGCCCTGGGGATTTTTGGCAAGAAGTGCTACCTCGGGGACACATGGAACCGCCTGGATTTCTTCATCGTCATGGCAGGGTAGGTAGCACCCGCCAGGCAGGTCCTAGCCTCGGGTGCACACCAGGAATAACTGAGAGAATCCAGGGCTTCTTGCTGATGGCGATGAAGCTTCACGGTGATGCGTGGGACCCTCCTGGACCCCTGGGCTGGGAGGAATGATGGACAGACAGATGTTCTTTCCTCCCTTCCTAAGTTGTGCGTCCTCTAGCACTGCCAGCGGATACTGGGTGTGTTTATGCTAATTAACGATATGACCTTGAGAGGCCATTGACGCTCTCTGAGCTTTCATTTCCTCGTCTGAAAAGGCGAATAATAATAGTAGCTGCGTCAAAATGAGCACCCAATAAATGCTAGCTGTTAGGATTGCTATCCTGGATCACTCATCACGCCAGAGACCGAGCACAGACTCAAGCACTGTCTGACTCCAGACTGTGGTTATTTCTACAAGACACAAGTTGCCATCAGGGACAGGCCTGGTTACAGCTGAGCCCATCTGCAGTGTCTCGGACCCTGCTCTGGGCCTTGTACCTGCTTTCCTGGGTCAAACCCATCCATGCATTTATCCACCTACCAGGGACTGAACAACTTGCTCCCCAGTGTTGGCGCCATCCTAGCTGCTGGGGGCAAGGAGGAGGGCAAACCAGACACAGGCCTTGTCCTTCCTACTCCTGTCTTGGGCAGGCACCCACCTGCTATGCCAGTGGGTGTGCCTTCACACACTGGGACCAGAGCGCTGGGCAAAGCATGTGGTTTGCTGAGAGCATTTAACACAGGGGCCTGACTGAGCCAAGCTGGGGACTTGGGGCTTGAGGGCTTCCTGAGGAGGTGACACGGAGAGCTGAAGGATGAGGAGACAGTAATCATGCCCAGGGATGGGTCATTATTAGGGCAGAGGATAGAGAAAAAGGCTGGAAGCTGTAAGTGTGTGTGCGAGAGAGGATGTATGAGTGTGTTTGTCAGTGTATGTGTGTGACCTTGTGTGTAGAATGCTATTGAGGAGGTGTGACCTTTTCGATTCGGTAGACTCACGGCTGAGATGGGCAATCAGGGTGTGAGAATCCCATCAAGCATCTGCTAAATTCCACAGATATGTTCTGAAGTGAGGTGATTTGTTTCATTAGGGTTTTAAAAAAGTTACACCTCTTCTAAGCTTGTTTGCCCTCTCTCCCTCCCTCTCCCCTTCTCTTCCCTCCCCTCCCTCCCCTCCCTTCCCTTCCCT